CAGCTATAGTTACTGTTGCAATGATGAGAGGAGCTCCGTAGCCTAGAAAAAATCCAATGGCCAGCATAGATGCTTTAGACAAACCCCCACCAAAAACATTAGTTGTACGGTAGAGCAGCAGCATAGCTGAGGCCAGCATCCAGAAGAACAGGGCTAGGTAGAAAAAATGGATAAAAAAGGTAGCTGCAGTGCATGCTGGGGGGTTTTTAACTTCTGCATCTGAAATGGCCGCTCCAATTATAAACCAAATGTTTGCAATCAGGAGGGAAACGGCGATGTTAACAATGGCAACATGACGCAAGTAAGAGGTTTCATTCTTTCTTATTTTTCTCCAAATGAGGCCTTCAATGATGAGACATATGACCAAGGATCCCATTGAAATGCCAACTCCAATGTAGGTTATAATGTCCAAATAGAGTTTCTTCGGACTGTTCGGTGACATGAGGATGGAGAATGAGGTCAGGTGGTTGCAGTTGCAGGTGACAGTTTCATTTATGTTTAACACTAACTTGCAGCCCTTGCCGTCCCATCCTCCCAGACCATCAAATAGGCTGAAGTTCCAGAAGACACATTCAGGGTTTTCCAGTGTATCATTTAAAATATCATATGTGAAAGAGATATTATTGATTTGGCCACTAGACTGAACAAGTACAACCCTGCCGTTTATGGACTTGAGCGATGAATTGGCCTCATCTCTTGCAGGTAGTACATTATCTAATGAGTTAAATACTATCATAGTGATTGTTTTGTTATCTCCTTTAGACTCTGGTATTTGTATTGTCACTGAAGAATTAAATTCAGCATTGAAAGCGTCTGTGAATGTAGTTCTGTTTAACTGAATAAAGCCTGTCATAATGTCAAAAGTTGCATTGACAAGTTGAGATGTTATTTTTTCAAGGGAGTCCAAAAATAATGAGCTAACACTTTTAACATCAGTGTTGTTTGAGATGTTTTTGGTGTCATTGTTATTCAGAAAGTTCCATGTTTGCTTTGTTCCATTGATGGTGAGAACCCCTGCTGTTATCAAGACATTCTATAGTAAAGAGAAAAGAATGATATTAGATTAAAAACATTAACTGTTCAGAATGTGAAAACGTCTGCAATTTAATCAACATACCTTCATTGAATCTCTGCTAATTGAGATATTGAGGGATGAAGATTTGTTGGCGACATTGATGAGTATTCTCACAATAGCTTTAATGTTGGGAGGAGATGTAATCACTTCTTCAGTAAAATTGACAGTGACGTTCTTGAGCTGTTCCAAAAATACTGGCAATGTAGTGGCAGTCAAGAACTGTGAGATTTGGACAGAGGAAAGAACAATGTTACATGGTAACTCTGCTTAATAATTTTATGTATTCTACTTATTTTACTTTCTTCTAGTTTTACTGCCGGTTTAAGCACAAGTGATGCACTTGCTTTAAAATCACATATGAGGCTTCTGATGCATTTTTCTCATTCCCTTTTTAAGGAGAACACTGGACCACACACACAGGACCACTGTGCATCAGCAGTACAGATATTCATTCATTACATACAGCCAATATACTGATATATAATTATTATTA